TCATAAAATGAAAACAAGAGTTTACCTGCGCTGTAATCTGAAAGAAATAAGAATATAATATGAGGTAAAATTGACACTATGGAGATCTTTAAGATTTCACTGTCGGCGACCTTCGAGCGTGCCTCCTGTTAAAACTCGTTCTGATTTGCAGCGTGGAGGTGGCCGAGCAAAAAATTTTGAAACGAAGAATTCTTTGGGAGTTCTTCGGGACGAGCCGGCCTTCAAAGAGAGAAAAATAAGAATTAAGGATCATAGCAATTTTAAAATTAACCATATGTTGAAAGAAAAACATCTATATACAAAAAGCCATTCTTGCGTGAAGGAGGCTTCTGGTTCTGTGTCGCAAACAGTCACTTAAATCGGGAAGCAATCAATATAGCTGTCCAGATCCATGTGTTTATCGAGGATTGCATTATATAGAAGTCTTGGCATTCAAAGACTCCTTTCCCACAACATGCTGGGCCTCCTTCTAGAGCTGTGTGATGCCGACAAGTGTGAAGTCCATAATTGCAAGTGCCTTGTGAATTTCCCCTCCAAAGAGAAATTGAAATCTGGGTCTGCCACATTAACGAGTGGGTCTGTCCGTCCATATGGATAATGATACGTTGGCTAACGTAAGCTCTCAGCAATGCAGTGGTTATTTCCACGGGCCTCTTGTCTATGGCCTCGGAAACTGCTGGCACCTTCTTTTCTCCATCAGGGAGGAGAGGATCCCCCCTGTCCATTTGCCGTTTCTTGGAGATGGGTGGCGGGTCTTGTGCCCATTCTTCAAACGAAAAGGGTGCGATACCTCCATGTAGTTGGAGAGTAGTGGTGTGGAAGCAGCTCAGAAAGTGGAGCTGAATAGACTGTTCCTCGGTCAAGAGCCTGTTCGTTAGCAAAGGTCCACATCTTGTGAGGTAGCTGTTGTAGTCCCACAGGAGGGTGTATGGGATATGAATGAGAGGGGCTGCAGCTGGCCCAAATGGTTCCTGCTGGGCATACCTTGTGTCTTGCCAGATTGCAAATCCTGCTGGTGCTGTGGGGGGTAGGGCAACGATCCATTTTAGTGCTTGTGTTGATATGGTCATTAATAGAATATGAACTCCCAGAGATCACATATTATCTATTGAAGAGAAGATGATTTATGTGTTTAAACCTTTGTCTATTATAACCTTATTTTCATATTTAACGTGACTAAACCTTAATTTATGAAATTCCATAGAGGTTTACTTTTATCTATAGTAATATGGTAACAACTAATAAAGTAATATTAATTTTGCTAACTCAAAGTGTAAATTTAAGTTGCTAATGTGTCTCACTCACAAGCCCAAATATAAATTTATGCAAATAATATATCTCCATTTAATGAGCCCAAGAAAAATATATACCTTATATTATAACTATAAAATACCAAATGTTATTATAACTATAGAAAATTATATCTCAATCCACAAATATAAAAGTAGTTCATACAAATATAGTATATGCCAAAATCCAATATGCATGCAAAACCATAAAAACTAAACATGTACCCATTCATATTATTGTATTCACCCTCTACATATACAATGAGACTAGTTGTTTAAACTTGATGGATAGTACTTGCTAAGATTAATCCTTTAATATCAAATATAACATACATGGTTTTTACCCTGAATTGGATTGTTCCACTAGTTAGTATATGAATGTAGAATAAAACATACACACTAATGGGGAAACAAAAAATGTCTCCAAGTTAGTCACTATACCCAATTTACCTATTATACATTTAAAGCCTTGCACTTTTGGCTTTACCCTAATCCCAAGAGTTAAGCAAAATATAAAAATGGTGCTATATTATCCCTAAAATTTTCATCTTTTACTACAATGTTTTGTCACAAATGTGTCTATGAGTATCAAAAGTTACCTATCAACAAATTCTTTCAGATAATCTTCTATTATTGCAATGATAGTAATAAATCAATATTGTTAGTTCCCTTTGTTAGTTTGTTTTGTTTAGTAGCATTTAGATGAACATAAAAAAGAAGCTCTTAAATGTCTATTTAACTGAATATATTTAGTGTTTGTTAGTTCTTATATACTCTATTTTGCATAAGCTTAATAAAAACCTTTGCATAATAAACACTTATTGCTATATGATAGTTTACTATATCTATTAAAACCTTTACTATCATGCCTTGTATGTTAATCACATTTCACTCTCATTAGCAATTTATAAAATGTGTCTAGATTTGTTATTTATGAAATATAAAAATTGTGTTAAACACAACTTTGAATCATTGAATATTTTTCAATATTAAGAAAACTAAATAAAAATAAAGAATAATATTATTCTAAAATGTTATGAGTGCTTGGAATAAGGAAAGGGAATACAGAAAATGTGCATATCAATTAACCCAAAAACCATAGTTTATATACAAGAGCGAGTAATCTAGATTGAAAGCAATTAAATGGCTACCAAAATCCCACTATGCTAATATTAATATACAGCATTGTAGCCATACACTTGGACCTCACATCATCCCCTTCTCTCGGAATAATGGAAGACCATCAGAGTTCTCTTGTAGATGGGCCGGGATTGAAAGGAACATCAAGAGGAGGTATCAATGGATTTGTATGTGGTATTAACTACTCTTAATCCTTTAGTATGAAGCATTTTAACCACTACATATGCACAATCTTTTGAGGATCGGCTTATTAGATGTCATGCCAAACCTCATAAACTTGCAGTCCAATTTGCTGCAACACCTGATACAATCCTTTCCACTGAGCAAGGAGCTCTTTAGATAAACCACATACCGTAAAGTGGGGAAAATGGACTAACACCAAATCATCCACTTTGTACTTTGCAGGTGGATGATAATAAGAGTTGTAGCGTTGTTGTTATCCCACATGTACGCGGCCTAAGTGTTCAATAGATTCTACTCGAACAAGTGGAAGAATGCTCGTCAGATAGTGATCCTATGACCTAGCATCGACAGTTCGTAGCAATCACAAAGGTAAACCCAACTCCGTTGGTAACATTGGATCATGACTATATAAAAGATTATATAGTGAAGCATCAACAGAAAAAAAAATCCCTGTAACATATGCATACCGAAGAGACGGCAAATAACCATCGTAATCCAAATGCTGAAAGTTCACATACATCGCGATCATTCCTTTAAATGTCCAAACAAGTGTTTCCGATTTGCCAACTTACCTCATCTATCCGTCCAACACTGCCTTGGTTTTTGCTAAGTTCCCTCACCAAGGTTCCTGCGTATGGTACCAGCTCTTACTTGGTCCTACTTGGTTTCAGCTACTCACTGCACAAGCAACGGAGTGTTAGCCATCCATCCATGGATTCCCAAATCTCTCCCAATCTCCCTCCCTGGGTTAGACTGGACTTAAGGTTCGGCTACACTCCCCACAAGCACAAGCAACCAAGCACACCAAGCTTCCAGGTTCCTAACATCCCTTGGTACCACAAGACTTGATCATAGGACCCTCTAAATACCAAGTCTTGGGTGCAACACTTGCTTCAGAACGCCGGGGCGAAACACTGTGGCCTAACGGCCCGAAATGGGTTTTTTTTTCCCCCCCCCCCCCCCCCCCCCCTTTTTTTTTCCGAAAGGGAGGGTCCAACCCTTTGGGAGGGGGGGGGCTTAATGACCCCCTGGGTCCCAAAGGGGGGCCCCCCCCCATTGGGTTGGGGGCCCCCCCAGTCGTTTTCCTTTTTGGGGGGGGGGGTTTTTTTGGGCCCCTCCCTGGGAGGGCCCCCCGGGCCCCACCCCCTTTTTTGTTTTTTCCCCCCAAGGGCTTTTAATTCCCATTCCCACCTTAAATTAATTTGGGAACCCCCCCGGGAGGGTTCCTTAAAAACGGGTTCCGGGCCCCCCCTATCCTTTTTATATTTTGGGAACCCACCCCCCCCCCCCCCCCCCCCCCCCTAGGAGACGCACGCTTTGGGCTTTCACCCCTTGACCCGTATTAGTACTCAGACTCAGTCTCTGGCTCGATCTCGGACTCAATCTCGGATCCGACTTCGGATTCGGTCTCGGACTCGGTCTCGGACCCGATCTCGGACCCGATCTTGGACCCGACCTTGGACTCAACCTCGGACTCGGTCTTGGACCCGATTTCGGATCTCAGACTCTGTCTCAAACTCAGTCTCGAACTCGGTCTCCGAGTCGGCCTCGGACTCTATTTCGGAATCTATCTCGAACTCGGTCTCCGAGTCGGTCTTGGACTCGATCTCAGACTCGGTCCCATCCGATGAACTCTTTATCATTTTGGTCATGCTTTTGGGGATCCTTTAGCCTACGACACCTCAGGGAGTTGGTTCCTTACAACAAACCATTCCACCAAACCGTCTAATTATGGATGATTAACACTCATGAAAGTGTGGCATATCCCCAACCGAAATGTCAAAACATAGAATGCCTCAACCATAAATGTAGAACTATTATCTGAAAGAATCCGCTCCGGAGGAAGCATCCAATAGTAATTGCAAAGGCACTAGCCAGAGCACCAATTTCCACCCAATGAGTCAAGTAGTCAAAAGTAACAATAACATACTCATTGCTAGCAGTTGATCGTGAAAAAGGTTCTATAAGATCAAATGTTACCAACTCAAATAGATGGGAAATTGTAATTAACTTTAATTATCCTTTTGAAGTACGAGAGGGAGTATTATGAACTTAATACCAAACGCAGTTACACACATACTAGATAACATCACGTCGCATTTTTGGCCAATAAAAAGTCTTATTCAACTTCTCAGTCATATAATAATGTTTTATATGCCCACCTAGAATAAAAGAATTATGGTGCAAATGCAATGGTCACAAAGATTAAAATACACATTTAAAATGCTCTTTGCCCAGCCTGCCGGAAGGTGTGCCCTTGTTGCGGCCGAGTTTTTCATGATTCTTCTCCACGCCGTCCTTTCTAAATTCTCTGTTTAATCTATTCTTAGATTAAGAGATAGAATGTCTTCTGCTAACGCAGCAGGAAATTCTTGGGACTCTGGGGGCTGGGAGAAACTTCTCCAAAAGTTCACGGGACAGAATTTCTCCACTTGGAAAACAAAAGTACAGCTTATCCTTTTGGCCAAGGACTGCTGGCCTATAATGGATGGAACGACTCAACATCCGGCTGCTGCGGATGTAACCCAACGGCTCGACTGGGACTCCAAGAATCGAAAAGCGCTCTCTGTCATCGGGTTAGGTCTTGGGGATGAATCCTTGATCTTACCAAAACAGCCCACCAGAACTGGACATCCCTTACACAAATCTTCGCTGCCAAAGCTGCCAATGCTAAGGTGGTGCTAACACAAAGGTTCTTCACGATGAGAATGCAACCTGATGACACTATGGCCACTTACATTGGAAAGTTTAAAGCGATGGTCACCGAGCTGAAGGACGCGGAAGCGGCAATCACCATTGATCAAGCTAAGGCATTCCTTCTGAGCTCTGTCTCCCCTGATCTCCAACCTTTCGCATTGATGCTCTCGGCTGTGCCTGGAAAGGACTTGGACTCGCTCTACTCGGACCTGATCGAGGAAGAACGCAAGCAGAACGAGTGGAGACAAAAGCGCCCTCTCAGGCTGCTCGGGTGGAGCAGGCCTTGTTCATGGGAAAGCAATCGGGTGGGAAGAAACGAGATGGCCCTGTTCGAGGACAAAAGAGCCCTTCTCCCAGCCCTGGATTTGCAACAGATAAAAAACGCAAGGGCCCATGTAATTACTGCGGCAGAGCTGGCCACGTGGAGCGTGAATGCCGGATCAAGAAAGCCGCAGAGAAAGCTTGCACTGAAAGAAGCTCTTCTTCACGCCAACCTGACACGATGTTGATGATGACGCTCACTGCATCTTCATCCACTGTGTCCAAAGCTGAAGTGCTCTGGATGGATTCTGGAGCCTCGATGCACCTCACACCATTGAAGAGAGCTTTTCACAAGTACTGGCCATTGGAGCAGGAGAAGCAAGTCTTTGTAGGAGACAAACGCCCCTTAACAGTGGAAGGACAAGGAACGGTCATCATAAAGTTGGAGAGTGGAGCTGAGAAGCTCGTGAACTAGGTCTACTATGTACCAGAAGCAGGACAGACAGTGTTCTCAGTTGGTGTAGCAGCAGATCAAGGCTTCTCAACACTCTTCAACGCAGACGGATGCACATCCTTGACGAGACTGGCCATCCAGTAGCTTTTGGTAGACGAGCTGAGACTCTCTACAAGCTCAATGTTCAGTTGATCCTCTCAACTCACGAGCAGGGGCATTTGCTTGCAATTTGCCCCAGCTCTTGGATTGCCAGCTCTGGCACGCTTGGCTAGGGCATGCCAATTCTCACGACATCCAACTATTTGTTAGCCACAAGCTTGCTGATGACTTTACCCTCACCGGTGCCGGCCAACTAGGAGTACGTGAGACGTGCCAACAGGGGAAGCAGCCAAGACTACCCTTTCCACGCAGAAGTCCAGAAGATGGCGCCTCAGGATTTCTTCAGCTGGTACACACGGATGTGTGCCATGTGCCAGAAGCAACTCTCAGTCACAAGCGGTACTTCGTTTCGTTCATTGCACGCTATGCGGTGGCTGTTCTCATGGCACACAAGGGAGAGGTCTACCATCACTTCCAGGTCTACAAAAGCTGGGCACAAAATGCCACTGGCTGTACCATCCAGACACTACGCTCAGATGGCGGCGGTGAGTATAGGAGCAATGAGTTTCTGGCATTTCTTGCTCAGGCTGGAATCCACCACGAGTACACCGCAGCCCACACCTCGCAGCAGAATGGGGTCAGGAGACACCGCATCGCTCATGGCGTCTTGCAGCATGCTCTAGGCGCTGCTACCACTGATGGTGACCATGAACCAGTAAGTGTGGATCCATCCTCTAGTGGGTGTTGATCTTTTCGGGATGCGTGACCGGCTACAGATCTCTGACCAAAGTTTCTCCAGCTTGAAGGAGGAGCAGGTTTGGTGTCGGACATCGAGGAGGACAGGCAGCTTCTATGGATTCACCGAGCGCCTGAACAGGACACTTATGGACTGTGTACGCTGCCTTCTCCAGCACGCTGGCATGCCCAAGGTGTTTTGGGGAGAGGCACTCAACACCTCCTGCCAGATCGCCTCCTTCGGGCGCTCCTTCAGCAACTCCTCCTGGCTCTGCATCGGCTGGATTGTCTGGCGCTGGGTGGAGATGTGGAACGTCGTCCAAAATCTCAGAAAGATCCCCCAGAGATGGTGAAGAAACAGGAGGGAGTCTCAGGGTATCTCGATAAAGATGAGCTTCATCAAACACCACATCTCGGCTCACCACCAGTTTCCTGCGCTGCCAGTTATAGAGTCGATAGGCTTTTACCTGGGTGTGATAGCCCATGAAGATGCATTTCTCGCTCTTGGGATCCAGCTTCCGCCGCTGAACATCGGGGATGTGGGCGTAGGCTATGCAACCAAACACCCTCAAGTGACCTAATTTGGGGCGCTTCCCTGTCCATACTTGAAATGGCACCTGTCCTGTGGAACGTGTTGGCAGCCGGTTCCGGAGATACATTGCTGCCCCAGGCGGCTCTACACGGACCAGAAGCTGAGCACTGGCAGGCAGCTATGCAGGAGGAGTATGATTCTCTCCAGAAAAACAACACTTGGTCGCTGGTTGAACTTCCAGCTCGCAGAAAGCTCGTCTCATCCAAGTGGTTGTTTAAGAAAAAGTACAACGCTGATGGAAGCATTGAGCGCTACAAGGCGAGATTTGTGGCACGCGGATTTTCTCAAGTTCATGGGCTGGACTACTCGGAGACTTACAGCCCTGTGGTGAAACTCACAACCATTCATATGCTACTAATCTTAGCTGCAGAATTGGATCTCGAGCTCCATCAACGGGCATGGTCAAGCTATTGTGTGACAACCAGTCTGCAATAGCTTTGACCAAGAACTCCAGGTTCCACTCTCGTACTAAACACATTGAGCTGCGCTTCCATTTTATACGAGAGCAGATCCAGAGAGGAATGATCGAGCTGGAGTTCTGCCCGACAAACTCCATGCTAGCGGACGTGCTAACAAAACCACTTCCTCGTGTTAAACATGAAGTCTTCACGAAGGCTCTTGGGCTGACTTTAGACGTTGGCCTTGAGGAGTGTGGGAGTGAACAAGACCACGTCAGCACACAGCCACGTGAGCGATCCAGACGCCGCCACGGATCGTCACGATAAACCCATACATTTAACCATGTATCAACCGTCATAATAATAACACAACACCGTTTCATAATACAACAGCGTGCTCTCGAGCTCTCAAGTTTTCCCCTCTTCTTACTGAAGGTGGAGTTTGGTAGTCACTACCATCACAGCATACATCGCGGAAGCTGGCTCTTATGGCATCCAGGTTCCTTATCCTTTTCGTAATTCATTCAATGCCTTGCAGGACGTGGGTGCCTCACTCATCAAGTCCGTCAATGGATGCTTCTACAACGTCGTTGGCTTCCCAATCCACTGGTGAGTAGTCTCCACGCCTCCTCCCCTTGCGTAGATGTCTCATGAGCAAAATAAACTACCTAATAAAATATTATATATTATACTTAGTTAATACAATATTTTTTAATTTTTTTTGTAGCTGATATTTTCCTCTTTCTCTTCAAAATATTTTAGTGTAGTGTTATATCCAGAACTGGAGTGCCAGAGTGTCCCATAGACCCCTCAAACTTCCGTCCATTAGTAACGCGAGAGACAAAGTTGCTATCACCCTTAATCGCAGAATTTGTGTAATAGAGTTCGTTGAACAAGCTGCTTGAGGGGGAAACTCTCCCATTTCGCAATTCAAAGTTCCACCAGTTGGAATATAAGTTGTAGTCAAACGGGACACTCCACATGATTGCGGCAGTTCGATTTTGGGCTGAAAGATAATATGTGATAACCCCAGCAGTGCCTCTTGCCACAGGACCAGTTGTCTTGCGAGCTCCAAAGCCGAGTGTGAATTTATCAGGAATAGCACCAGGGAGTCCATTGTCAGCTGTTCCAGAAAAGAAATACACACCTATAGCTGTGAGCTGATGGCCAGTATTGTTGGCAAACGAAATTACAATCTTGCGTTCTACTGAACCCAGCGCATTCAGGATGCTGTTGATAGCCGCAGCTCCAAGCTTCAGTCCTGCCACCACGACTGCAGTTACAGCCATTACACCTTTTTCTTCATTAGCAATAGACTTCTCTTCTTCGTGAGTGACCACAGAGCTCTCTTCTGCAGCCATTTCGTCACTGGCTTGCTCTACATCCATCTCACCCTTTCCTTGATTACACCTCCCAGCCATATCACGTTACACTAGGATCTATTCTTCCTTCACACACTTCTGCACACACGTATAGAGGGAGGGAAGTAAGCAAATACTGACTTCCTCTATAAATGATCCAGATGGCTACAAAACGATGACATGTACATTTGTTGCCAGCTGGTGACAAGTCAGCTGATGAGGTTCACATGGGTTCATACACACGTACGGTTGTTGCCAGCTGGTGACAAATACAGACATGTCCGCTGATGAAGCCCACATGGTCTTTGTGGATTTCGTGACACACGTACGGTTGCTGCCAGCTGGTAACAAATACAGACATGGCCTTTTGTGGTCAGCTGATGAAGCCCACATGTTCTTTGTGTGTTTCGTGACACACGTACATTTGTTGCCAGCTGGCGACAAATACAGACATGTCCATTGTGGTCAGCTGATGAAGCCGACATTTGTGGGGTTGGTGAACATGTAGACCAATGTCATTAGTATGGAAAGTTGCCATCAGCATGCCAACAAAATAGTTTCCATTTTAGATATGGTTTTTTAAATACAATATGATTTGTGTACATGTTCCAACATGATTTTTTTAAGCATACTTATGAAACTGGAACAGAATATCAATATTATATGAATCTCTGAAGCCTGTTATGAAATTATAAATTAATCTAGTTTTTAATCAGCTAAATAACATATGTCACTGTTTCATTTGCGGCATTCTACAGTTCACCCATTGTACAGGTAGAGATTGGTTATTCCCTTTTATATATACACACACATATGTATTTAAAAAACCATATGTATATATATACATACATACATATATATATATGTGTGTGTATATATATATATTGTCGCGAATGTGATTTTGGGTATCGAAAGTTACTTGTCGGCCAGTCCTTACAGATACTCTTTCCTTACTGCCACGATGGCAAGAGGTCGGTATTGCTAAGCCCATTATCAGTCTCCACTTAAGCTAGTTGAGAAATTGGTCTTTGCATGTGCACTTGACCAGATGAGCATAAGGAAGGAATTCCTAAATGTCTATTTAGTCAAGGATACTTGACTTGGTTAGAGAAATTCATTCGTTGACTTGCATTTGTTAGTGTTGGGAACCCCCGTGATATTAAGTTTGGTCCCTCAATATCGCTAGATGATAGCTTACTGTGTCTGCCAAACACCCTCGTTATCATGCCCTTTGTGTTGGTCTCATTTCGGTCCCAAATGCTAATTATGGAAAGTGTCTAAATTTGCTCATTTGGCATATCTACGGAATGTAGAGATTATCCTGAACACAATGGTGTTCGTCCCGTGTCCAAATTTACAATTTAGTGTCATTCCATATTTAGTAAGTTTTAAATTTGTCCCAGAAACTAACTCTTGGTACTAAAGGAGGCTTAGGGTGAAAGCCCAAAGCATGTGTTCCTCAAGGGGGGGGAGAGGGGGGGGGGGGGATATGAGGGGTTCCAAATGTATAATAGAGATAGTGGGTAAGTCGGGCATGGCGGACCAACCTGAGGCATAGTCTAGCTCCCGCTTGCGTGCCTGTCCTTGTTTTGCATCCGGCTTGGGTCTAAGCCCAAGTTCCATTCCATGCTAGCTAGTGGAGTACCCATATCCTTGCGTTAGGCCACTGGTATGCTGAAATAGCGCCAGACTCTATTTAGCCCCGTTTTGCGTGCTAATCCTGGCATTAGGATGCTGGTTGCTCTAGGACTGTTCCAAGTCGCTCCGAGCTCATGTCCCTTCGCTCCTTGGGCTATATGTTTGGGAGTTGCTCCGTGGTCCGATTCCGTCACTCATTGGCTCCATGCTTGGGAGTTTGGCATCGTTCCTTCGTTCAGTGGCCCAAAGCCCTAAACCTCGGGTTCTACACCACTGTCTTTTGGACACATGGCATGTGTCACGTGGCATATAGAGGGTTTAGGTTCTGCTTCGTGGTGTTGTCCTATGGTAATCACTATAGGATAAAGGGTCAAAACCATGTGCACTACATATATATATATATGCATGTATATACATACATACATATATATGTATGTATATATATGTGTATATATATATGTGTGTGTGTGTATATATATATATATATATATATATATATATATCTGTGTGTGTGTATATATATATATATGTATATATATATATTATACATATATATATACATATATACATACATACATACATATATACATATATACATACATATTTACATACATATATATGTAAGTAGGATTGAGAGAGAGGTGTGGTTTCCCTTGCAGGAATTAATCTTTCTTAGATCTTGTGTCTCCGTCCTTTATTTTTCTTGTATAAAATCCTTTTTGTAGCATATTTTATTTTATTTTTTTTAGGCCAATTAGAAAAGAGTCAATTACTTAATGAAAGAGCTTTTATTTTATCCCCTAAGGTTCTATAGATCCACGGTGGTAATATATTTAAATCTCATTTTATGATCATATATGATATAAAGAGGTCAATTTAGCAAGCTTCAATATAACATGATAGAAAGCTTATAAGCTTTATTTCGTTAAAGTGGGAATTGTCATTATCCCACTTGTAAAATAAGGTTTCCAAACCTTTATATAGTATATAAATATAACAAAATTCAACTGCATTGAGGCACATGCCATTTTATTTTAAACAAGGAAATGTTTACTCAATCACTTCTCCTCCCCTTGCCACTGCTTCACCTCTCTCTTCTCCTTGTCATCATCGTCCAATTTCTTTCCATCCTTTTAATATTGACTCAATTGCTCCGAGTCTAGGTGGAGCCCAAGTCCCCATTCAATCTTTACTTTCCCCTTATTAATAAAACAACTTCGTAGACTTCCAATAACATACTGTAACACTTCTAGTATAATGCAAATCCTCTCAAAGAATTGTCTTTTAATATTAATACAATGGCATGGAACCCCATGCCATAATAAGTTACATTTTAAAATAAATACATGCCATCTTAGACTGTTATTTTTTGCCTCCAACGCCTATACAATAATCTTGGAATTTCATCACTCTCCACACTATCAGGATTTAAACCCAATAGTAATGCCATCTCTTCTCTAATACGTCCACACTCATGTTCAGTGGTTGAAGAACCCATCCAGTTGAGCAGATTATGGAGATGCGGATAGTGCTTGGCTAGACAATATATATGCCATAAATGATGACTGGTGTCTGTCCGATCAAATAGCTTCTGATATACCGTTCCATCTGCCATTTGGTTGATTTCTGCAGCCACCTCTTGGACTGGCCGGTTCTCTATCACCATCGCTCCAAGCTGTTTTGCAAGGTCCCCCAGAACATACGGTTTCTTCTCCCTAGTTTCCATACTGCAAGAGATGGGGTGCACTGCATATGTGTGCATGTTCACTGCAGTTTTAATTGGCGAGTCATCGATGATGAGGATTTCACTTGACCTAGCAGTCCGGTTCATCACTACAGCCTCTGGCTTGATGAAGATGGGCTTGCTACCCCTCACATGGACCATAGTCAAGCAATCCTCCTGCGTTAGGAGAAAGTCAAATGGTAATATTACTCGCGTCTGATCGTGCATCATCTGTAGCAACGTTAATGCATTGTGGCGCATCATGGATGTCCAAACTCCCAATTGCAAATTGAACCCAGCCCTCTGTTTTAAGTGTCGCATGGTCATTATTAGATCCCGCAGTTTCTCCCGTGTGATTAATGTGAATCTGTCTCTTTTGACCAACTTGCGACCGCAGGCTTTGGAGGGTGCAGTGACATTCGAGGACGAGCCATGCTCATGGGAGAAAAGGACACCGTTCAGATCAAAAACGATACAGTACCTTCGCCGTGACTCTGAAATGAAATGCGTCAGCATAAAAAATGGTACAAGTCAATTTTACCATCTACAATATTAGCGAATGGTGCTCCTGATGGTCGTTCAGAGGGTTTTGGTCGAGGAAACGTGAAGGGCGAAAATACTCTCCTCTGCAATGTGGGGTCAATCGCATCCGATGGCGTGTGG